GTCTTCCCCGTCAAAGGTGCCGCGTCACAGTATCGAAGTAGCTACACACCCATCCACGACGATGAGACGGATCTGCTCTGGCCGGCGAGCAGCGAATCCTCGTGGCGAGACGGCAACATCCCCGGCGGTGAAGAAGCAGCAGCAGCAGCTGCAAGAGGAATGCCGCTGCCCCTCCGCAGCAGGTCCGTCGCTTTCGCTCTGGAGGAGGCCACATCTAACTCCAGGCTTGCAAGCCGACATCAGCGCTACCACGTAGATAGGCATGTGACAGCTGCGATAGAAGTACGTGCCAGGAGCGCGTCTGTGAAGTACGACGAGGACGAATACCCGCAGTTCACCTCCTCCTTAGTGGAGCCCCACACCGCATCGCAGCGTTGCGCTTTGGATCTCAGCAGCGAGAGAAGTCGCCGCCACAGTGGCGTGGACTCGCCCCGCCAACAGCAGGCGCTTTTCTGCGAGAACGTCTCGCCGCATTCTCCGAACGTCACGTGCCGGTGGTTGGTTAAGGACCATTCCAACACGCGTGAGGCGACGGCGGACTACGCCCCAACAGAATCGTGGGAAAGGCGTACGCTCGGTGTGCAGACGAGCGGCTGTGCGTACTATGTACGGTGCCCCACACCCCCGCGCAGCAGGTCACGTGACTGTGCTGCTGACGCGACGCTATGGCGTGCGGTGCCGGGGCCCCCCAACCCGCTGCTACAACCACCGCTTACGCCGACGCAAGTGCGACCACCGAGCACGGCGCTGCAGTTGCTGCCGCTGGACGAAAGCCACACACCGTCGCGGGCACAGCAGCGTCTTGCTCAGTTCATGACCGACGTGAGCCGTACCGCCATGCTTCAGGCGGGACACCACAGCAGCCGAGACAACGACAGCAGCGAAGGCGAGTTGCCATCCCTCGACGACCTGCTAGATGGTCGCGTGCAGCTGTGCCCCCGTGCCATACCACGAGAAGCAGGTAGCGAAGATGATCAAGGAAGGAAGAAGAGGGGTCAGCAGCAGCAGCAGAAAGACGGTAAGCACCGTTCGGTGGTAGCCGTCGCCTCCACTTTCCTCGATACGACGCGTGGTGCCGACGCGTCGTCTCTCGGCAACGTCGACGATGTCGCCGGCAACCCAGCGGCGCTGGCACTGCGGCTGTATGGGCAGTGGGCGCCGCCACCGCAGCCATCTGTCACCGTGGCGCTACGGCCGCAGCTGCACGCGGTGCTGCACGCCCCCGGTGTCTTTGGCAGCGACGCCTTTTACGATCCCTTCCACGCGCTGCGCTGGTGGGAGGCGTCGTGTGAGGACGTGCTGCGCAGCGGCAATGCCGCCAGTGCGCCGCCGGACTGCGACGGCCGTCAGCGGTACGTTGACTGCTTCGGTAACGTCGCGTGCGGTGCGGCGATGATGCACCCGATGCGGCGCTTCATGGTGGAGCTCTTCACGGAGCGGCAGCTTGCCGCCGACGACGTGGCGGTGCGCGGGATTGACGCGACGCTTGCAGCGAACATCCGCGACGTGTGGGTGCTGGAGCGGCTGCTGCTGAAGACACACCGCCCGCGCCGCACACGCCCGCTCAGTTCCGTCTACAACGTTGTGTATCCAAAGGAGGCGCATGTGTCTTTTCTGCCGACCCACTTCCCACCCGCCGAGGCGCAGCAGCAGGAAGGAGAGGAAGAGGCGCAGCAGCAGAAAGAAAAGAAGCCGAGAAAGTCGAAGGAGACCGCAGAGCTGGAAGTCGAGCCAACAGTGGAGGTACAGGTCTTCCGCTGACATCGCGGGCGGGAAGACAAGGAACAAGAATAATGGCTCAAAGAGCGAGCAGAAAAGAGATACGGCTGACGGGAAGAAGTCCAAGAGGCCAAAGGTATGATTTGCTGTGAATGAGTCCGTTCACTTATCGTTATTCCTTTTTTATTTTTTTTAAATCCATTTTCGTTTTCTTCGATGAATTTCAAACACACTTGTGCATGTGCGCCCGACGGTGTGCGTCTTGTTTCTCATGTGCGACGGAGTTGTCGGCGATGACGTGTCGTCATCGTCTGAACCCTTCTGCTACTGCTGCTTCAGTTTGTTGTTGTTGTTGTTGTTGTTTCTACCGTCTCTCTTCTACTCTTATGCCTCCTCCCCCTCCCCTTCCTTCGCTGCACGCCTGGCCACACGAGCTGTACTCAAGAGTGACCAGTGGCACTCCCCTCCCTTCAGTCTATCCCAGCCGTGCGTGCACACACACACACACACACAGGCACATATTTTATATCTGCTGATTCTGTGACGTTCACACCGAAGGTGACCGAGGGCGGGAGAGAGAGAGAGAGAGAGAGGTACGCATAAACACCCCCGAAACAGCAACAACAACAACAACAAAAGGTGTTTGTTGTTTTTTTTTTTTGGTCTGTATTGTGACGGTCTGGTTTTATTTTATTTCTAGCATTGGTGCCGCGTTATCGCTGCATCAGAGAGCGTGGGGGCGGATACAATAGAGAGTGCACGTGCACACCTGGATCCACGCACCCCACGCGTGCGCATCATGGGGAACACCGTCTGCACCGACGCCGTTCCCTTCACACTGGATGACGTCCTCCTTTCTCAGCGTGCTGGACAGCAGCGCAGCGTCCGGGAGCTGCTTACTCCGGCCGCGGTGGAGCGGTTCGCGCGGTATCAGCACAACATGAAGGCGTTTGTGTTCTACCAGCGTGCAGTGGACAACAGCGCCGCGCGCATGGACCCCTCACATGTGTATTCGCTACCGGTTTCCCTCTCGCAGGCGAGGCTCCGCCCGGATGAAACGGCAGTGTACGTACTCGTGCATGTGCAGCGCACGCCAGAGGTCCCCGTCAGCGCGCGCCGCGGTGGCGGCTCCACGGCGCAGTGTGCTACTGCTTCTGGCGGTGTTGCTGAGCGGCCGCTGAGGGAGGCAGAGATGGAGCGGCGCCGTAGTAGCGAAGAAACCCCACTCTGGGTATCTGCAGTTGCCGATGCCTTCACTCCGCGCGGCGTTGCAGTGCCGTTCGCGACGGATATCGGTAAGCCAATGCTGGTGCTTCCGTCTGCTGCTGCTGCTGCTAATACTTCCAGCGGTTTGGTGCCTGGTGTGGATGGCTTTGATTTCAGGTACAGCGTGCATATACTCACAGGTACCAAAGCGAACCCGATAGTGGCATCCGTCGCCGTTCTACACGCTTTTCGGATTGAGCGATGTCTTATGGATGGCGCGGAGGTCGTGCAGCGGCTGTTTTTCAACTACAACGCATGTCGTTGTGCGGCGGAAGGGAAGATAGATATAGCTTTGTGTGCACCTGTAGGGGAGGTGGTGGGCAGCAGGACGCCACGCCGTAGTCCGCGGATCACCGATGAGTACGGGAAGATCGCCATCCTTCGCATTCTGCATCAGATGCGCGTGAAACCGTCACTTCCGACAATTGCGACGACACCAACATCGGCGCGGGGCAATATGTCTCGTGGAAGCACCCCACGCGGCAAGATTGGCACACCCACTGCCCTCACCCCCTACTCTTTTTACCAGCAGCAGCAGCAGCCGCCTATGACCACGGTGGCGACAATAGGAGCAACGACGACGACGACGACGGCAATAACAACAACAACACCCACGGTGGCAGCGACACCAGCTGGGCAAGGACCACCAGTCTTGGAGATTCCACGTCTGCGCTTTACTGTAGAGGCATCGCGGCAGCACGCGATGGAGCCGGCGTTGAACGCTCCGCGGCGTTCCAACACACAGACGCCGCAGACAACACAACGCGAGGCGAACTCCTCCCAATCAAACGCGGCATCCTCACGCACGCCTCTTGTGACCTCCGCCTCGCCACGCTTCCCTGCTATTACCAACCTGCGACTGAATGAAGTATTGAATGGGCGGAACACCAGTGAATTGGCCTCTGACGCGGATGAGATACGCATGACAGAGGAGCGCCTGCAGAAACTGAAGGCCGCGTCGCCACAGGCCACAGAAATCCTCCCGTGGCTGTTCGTTGGGGGCGAAGAGGCGGCGTGTGATCGCCCGCAGCTCCTCGCAAAGGGCATCACCGCTGTTGTCAACACTGTCGCATTCGCCATGGGCAACGTACATGACGAATTTTTTCACTACCTCAGTCTGTATGTGAGCGACTCACCCGATGAGCCTATCTTCTCCTTATTTCCCGTTGTGATTCGCTTCGTCGAGGAGATGCGGGCGAACGGTGGAAAGACGTTTATTCACTGCCATCAGGGTGTCTCACGCTCGTGTTCATTTGTCATTGCGTACGTGATGTGGCACGAGGGAATGTGCTACGACCGTGCCTTCGAGTACGTCCGTGCGAGGCGTACTGTCTGCAGCCCTAATGCAGGCTTCTACGTGAATCTGTTGCTGTGGGAGAATCAGTTGGCCACACCGGTGCTCAACAAAGCTTATGTATACGTGCCGTACACGGAGTACCTCTTCCCCTACTCCTTCCGCCTCGCGCTGGCGTTCCGGAACCACCAGAAGTCACACGACGATGATGACTCGCATGTAGTTAATACGTTCGTGCACACTGTCTACGAAGGCAACGACAGCTACGTAGTAGACCCACGCCTAAGTTACGGCATTCTGCTCGGCGAGCGCGGTCCAGTGAGTGGCGGGCGTACACCACCGCCCATTGAGTCGTATTTCTTTGCCGACGAGGAGTGCGACGAGGTGGTGCGACAGCAGGCGAAGGAGGACTGGGAGGCATTCATTAAGTGCAACTTCTACCAGGGTCAGAAGAAGCGTAGCATTAACAACAAAGGCGAGAGTGTCAATTTCGTCCCGCTGCCTCGGCTAGAGCGTCCAACAGAGTCTCTCTGGACTGTAAAGGACGTCGCCGCCGTCATTAACGCCGGGGTGTTTGGGGGGCAGCGTAGAAGCTCATCCGGTGGATCGCGGCTGCCGAAGCCCGTACTGGCGCACGACCGCTGCTGGGACAGTCTGCTTGCCCGCAGCGATGTGGTGTTTAGTTTTGCCAAGCATCTTGCGGAGGAGCAGCGCGTGCGGCTGGGGGCAGGGAATCGCAAACGCATGCGGGACGAAGAGCGGCGACGTGCGTCCAAGACGATGGTAGCCGGCGTCACTCCACGCCTCTCTCCACACTCTCACAATAGCGCGGTCGCATTGAAGGCGGCAACATCAACTGCAGTAGGAGGAGGAGGAGGAACAACTGCGGCGTCATTGTCTTCACGCTCGCCCGGGTCTGGGGCGCGGCCCACGGTACCGCTGCGCAAAGGTCCGGGATCCACGCCGTCGTCTCCGGGCTCGCACTCGCCGCGACATGAGGTGGAGATCTACGCGTACCCCTTCACCGGCTCCCCCCTTCCCAACATATTTGACATCTCCGATATGGAGGCGGGGCGCTGCTATGTGGTCATCGTCCCCGCCACCACGAGCACGACGGACCACCACCGCGTGTTCCTGTGGATGGGCTGCAAGTGCAGCGTCGGTGAGGCGGAGGCGTGGCAGGCGTACCAGCGCTCGCTGAAGGCCGGCAAAGACGTGCGACTGTGGAGCGGCATGGTGCTGAAGGGCCCAGTAGAGGAGGTCGTCCATGACGGTGAGGAGCCGGATGACCTTTTACTTGCCCTTGACTGAGGAGCGGAGGAGGCAAGAGGTGACGAGGAACAAAAAAAAGAAAAACCAAAAGAACCAAACCGAAAA